AATTTAGATGGATGTTAAAGGTTGAGCTGTTAGGATGCTGTCCAGCCAGTCTTAACATACTGCATAGCTCAGGTATGCATGAAATTACTGTCACTGTTGAATGGCAGTGTAAGAACACTGTGCGTTGATGCAAGTTTCTAGGCAGCTGAATTATGCTTATGAGGAACACACTATATGTGTACGTGTGTGTCAGCTCTCAGTAGTTTTCTTATAGCTAAATTAACTGGGCGGGTTCTGAATTATTAAAGCTGTAGATGAAGGGACAAGTGGAGTCCAACAGATCTGTTAGCTCAAGTGTCACATCGGCATAGAGAGAACTAGCAAACTGTGCTGTACCTGATCCACTTCTGCAAGGATGCGGTTGTAGCTGGGAGTGTATTTTTAGGTATATCATTGGTGCCATATGAGTCAGCCTCAGGTTCGAGTGGGTTTACTAGGTCAATTGGTGATGCTTTGTGGAGGCAGGCTCTTCTTTCTTCCCTGCAGTTGGGTTCTTGGGAAGGCTGTTAGGGAGCCAGTACCAACCCTCACTTAAGTATGCTTAATTTAACTAATTTAATTCAATTTAAATTTAACTGACCTGACTGAGAGACACTGTGCTTAGTCCATACCGAAGTGCTGTTTCTGGTGACAAGTTGTTTCCTCAGGCAGACACCGGGCCTAAGCTAACTAAACTGGCTATGTTGTTTTGATGCTAGTAATCTACATTGTCATCTATATTGTGTGATGAGAGCATTATACTATGATACATAGAAGTTGTGCTACACTGCAACTGTTGTTATATGGCAGGATTAAAGCTGTAGAATATCTGTATGATGCATTTCTTAGTTTATCTAGGGGTGTATGTGTTTGGTTTTTTTATTTTCCCTCCTGTTACCTTGAAATAATAGATTATTGTCTGTACTGGAAACAGAGGCATAGATGTGTCAAAGCACAAATACAATGAATAGGGTAGGGGAAAGAAGAGGTGAGGCAAAACCCTTGGGTAAATTATTCTCTCTGTATACAGCATGTGAAGTGTTGAGTAAGCTGAATTAGGCATCAGCCAGATGTTACTTACTTACATCACTCTGTCCGGCTTTGACATAACGACAGCAATGCTATCTTTACATGGATGAAGTGATTTTGAAACACTTCTGCGTTGGGTTGGGTAGGTGCTAGCTCTTTCAGTATTGATTACAACAGTGTTATCTAGCCAGTTATAGTAAAAATAGATGCTGGCTTTCTGAACTGTATAAAATGTAATTTCCATTCCGAGATTTTTTTAGTAATTTTTCATGCAATAGTTGTCTTTTTCATACTACTATAATTAACTTCATATGACTTTAGGTAACTTCTCCCCTGCCTCTGAATTTAAGTTCTCTCTGTGCTGAAAATGCTGTCCTAGATATGACATCTATGTTGGGAGTTTTAGATTTTTAGTGTAATTTTAGGAGAAAATGTTGCACTCTGTATAGCAAAAGAAGGTTCAAAATATGAAGTAATTTTTCAGTGTGCTGTGTTGTCTTTCTAAGGCTAAAAAGTATCCGAAGGAGGCTGAATAAAAAGGCTGAATGTCTTGCCTGGTACTCATGCTGTTTATATTTGAAGTCTTAGGAGCAAGGAGGTGTATGTTCACTTGGGTGTATGACAATTGGTGATGGTAAGCAAGCCCCACGTTACATGGTCAGGGTCAAGAGAAAAAATTGCTGGTGAATTGTTTTTCAGTGAACTACGAAAATTATGTTCCAAGTCAGACACAACATGATTGTGAGTCTTTGTTATGCATAAAGTATACGTAGACTGAAAACTTAATGTCATGTAAACAGAAAGTCAGAATAAGTGTGAGATATCTGCTCGATTTAAAAAGCAGCCAACCAACCTAAGGGAGTTCTAGCCTAACTGATAATAAAAGCATATCAAAGAAACTTAACAATATTTCACTTTAAAACAGTTTTACCATAAAACATGTCCCTTTCAGAACACAAATTATTTAAAAAAACTTTTAATATAAATGAAGTTTATCTTTTGAACATCTGGGAGAGTATATGTGATAAAATGTTTCTGCAGTAATGCATATAGCTTTGAAGAACTGCTACTGTTATGAGTCGGGAGCCAGATACACAGCTTTTATAAGGCATGATGTGAGCCGTCAAGCATTTTAGCTATCTTCCATGCTTACCTGAATGCTGCTTTCAATTGGACAGGCTATTTTCACTCCAGATATTTGTAGATCTTATCTTGTGAAATAATGGAAACCTTAGAGAGCCAGATATTTTCAGTTACTCTTTGACACACTTGCACTTGCACATCCTGTTTCAAGAGGTACTGGCAGGCTAACTGTCATATTTGGGTAACAGGCTTTTAGAATCAGACTTCTGGGAGTCACTTCAGTATTTGTCCAAAAAACTTTTATACGAGCAGCCTTCTCAAACCTTGTGAATACGCAGTATATGGTTTCAAGCAGAGTGGCAGAAGTCTCTAACTTCTGGTGGCTGATGCTGTAACTCTTCCTGAACAAAGATAATTTGTCCCTTTCTCTTCTTCTTTCTTTGCCTCTTGCCAGGAATAGTGAAGTCAAAGGTGAAATTCATTCTTTTGGCAGCTTAAATTTTGACTTTCAAGCCCTCGAAATAAGATTGTGTGTGTATATAGTACTTAATAGAAACCTCACGAGTATTTTGTTTTGTGCATTGCCAAAACAGCTTTGGTCACAAAGGCACTCGAATAATTTTATTAGAAACAGAAGAGAATTTTGTTGGAAAATCTTTTTTCACTGCCAGAGAAGTGATGGGTTTTCTCAAGTGTGCTTCAGAATAAGAGTTCTCCTACTGTACTGTAAGTGATTGAATTTGGTACACTTCAGGACTAGCTGCAGCACTACACATGGCTTATATTACTGAATGAGTGGTGTGAAATGTAAGCTGTTGCTGTTTTGTCCTTTTTCTGAATTTAGATATTATCCTTTGCAACAGGATCCCAAATGTTTACTAGCTGAATACGATCCATTATCTTTGTTTCTTTAAAAGCATTCCTTTTAAAGCTAGCTTTTAGCCTGCTGTTTGACCTAGAGCTTAAAATTGCGGTATATCTAGTATTATGTGGATTAATCGTATGTCCTTAATTTTGTTTCTGGAGTTCCAATTGTCTCATCTTTGCATTGTCTTAATGTTGCCTTGCTGGCGGATTGCTCAGTTGCCCTTTTAAGGATGTATTTGTACAGTGTTAAATTCACAAGTAATTTATGTTGTTTGGACTGTGACTTGTGGACCATCAGTGATGTGTTACCCACTTCTATTGCAGTGGAATTAAAAATAGAAATATGTGACAATCCCTTTGTCATGGCAAGTTGATTTATCAGTCTTTCCCTTCTTTCTGAAGAAGTTCAAGGACCTGTTACTGCATTCCTGACTCACTTGGATTTCTGCTTAGTAATTTCTGTTAAGAAATCCAAGAATTTTCAGTTTTCACTAGGATGTCTCTTCCAGAGTACATGTAGGCTTCCTTACTAAACATTTAAATTCAGCTATATACAATGTTCATCTGAGGCATTTCTGGTGTGCTAGAGACAGGATTAAATTTGGTGATAGCTCCAGAGCTGGAAAGAGAGAAAATGCACAGGACAGTAGACATTAATTTGCCTAGTTTATTCAGGGCTGGTAGGTGGGTGGAAGAGTACAATCTGCCCACAAGAAATAGATTTGCTTCTAACCAGAACACAGCTTTGGGAGTTGCAGCTAAACAAGTTTAACATCTCTGTTCTGAATTTTGTCAGATTTTCACTCTTGCAGAACTGTATGCATGTCTTAACACCCCCTGCTGCCACCCTGTGTGTCTGTCTGAATTTTTAGTAACTCATAATCAGTGTGTTTAAGTTGTTTTTGAGCTCTTCTGAAAACATTTCTTAAATTGTTGTGCTTAAACTGTTATAGCTTCCTAGCTCTTCACCTTCTCACTCCTCCTTCTTTATTTAGGTTTTTTTCCCCACCTAAGATTGATCATGAGGAGAAGGTGGCATGTTAACCTAATTCAACAAAGCGTTGTCTTGTGCTTGAAGTAGAATTCCTGCTAATTTTTGCGTTGGAGTGTTAAGACTATGATAACCAGGCTTATGGTAGAGATACCTGAGTCAATAGGGTAATTTGCCAAGGGCATTTGTTACTCTAGGAGTGCTTTTGCTCCTGGAAGGCTGCAGTCCTTTGGCCTTTTCATAAAGACTGTGACATTGTTGCCAGTTCATTCACTGTGTGGTACTTTCACTTTTCAGTGATGTAGGAGACCTGCAAAGCATATTAACGTGAATGGTGGTTTTGCAGCAAAAAGGCTTATTCATAAGAAAACAAAGGTATCTGTGACAGGGTTTTAAATATGGTACTGCTTGGAAGATGGATGTGAATGCTTGCTGTGTGTGAGGTGGCTTGGGCTGATGATTGTAGCCTGGTAAGTGGTAAAATAGTCCTATTACTTTCAAAAGTAATTGAGGAAAAACTTGTCGGCATAAGCTATTGCTGAGTGGAAAATTTACTCTGTTGGTCCATCTTGCAGTGACATGTTCCCAGGCATTTGTGGCTATGAGTGCCTTCTGTTTGTCACTAGAAGTGTTCAGTAGGGTGTCCAAAGACATTTTCCAGGTGCAGCAACTTTCTGGAAGAGTCTTCTTATGGTGGAAGGATTGAAAAATGTACTCCTAGCTAATTTAGTTTTCCAGGGGAATAAGCATATTCTTTTGCATACCTTACATCAGTCATACTTGTAACTTCACAGGAAAGGAACAGCTGCTCTCTAGGTGAAGCATCAAATCTACAGTCCTTGTTCCCTTTTCCCACCCACACAGTTCCCTACAGCACTGGAAAAGTAATTATGATGTTGTTAAGGCTTAACCATTTCTTTTTATTAATTTGCATGTGTGCTTATACTTAAGAACTTCTCAGCCTTGTGGGACACGTGCCTTGTGGCAATTCTACTGTGTAAAACAGAGTGGTCAGTGCTTATTAATGGGGATGGACTTTCTTTCCTGTTAGGTTTGGTATTCACCCTGTGGCTGGCCGTATGCCTGGTCAGCTGAACGTACTCCTAGCAGAAGCTGGTGTCCCTTATGATATCGTACTGGAAATGGATGAGATCAACGAAGACTTCCCAGGTTAGCATGAGAGCTATAAGTTTCCAGTAGACTGGATTTGATCTTGTCAATTTTTATTTGATTCTGGTTTTACATTTCACAAGGATTTTAAAAATAGAAAATCTCAGTTAAGCTATTAATTTTCTCTTTGTGCCCGTTTTCTGTTCTGTGCCAGTGATACCACTGTAGAGGAGCAGACGTCTTTATTTTGCAGTCTGAGTGCTCTCCCAGCTGACAGCAAGTGAGCACAGAGGAAAACAAGAAATAGTCTGACTCAGAAGCAGAAAGCTGAGTAGCAGAGAGTACAGACAGTGAGAGCAAAGGGAAATACTGAATGGTGAAGTATAAAAAAGAGTAGATATTGTAGGGAAGTTAAATAGGCCTGTGAAACTTGTGTCCTTCAGAACCAAGAAAACAGTTGTAGTTTCTTTAGTTGCTTGTAGCTGTTAAATAAATGACAAATGTTGTCTTTTTATCACAGTTATTGCTCCATACAGGAAAACTGCTGTTAGTTCTTTAGTTCAGGCGTTATGGACAACTTGACCTTGTCCTGTCTTGCAAACCAATATAGCATTGTATAGACAACTTCTTGCTTTACATCTTACATATTTATTTAAAAAATCAGAAAGCTGCTGATAAAAGTTGGGATTTTTTTTGAAAGAATATTTGAAGAAAAAGCCAGGCACTAAGAAATTTGGTGATACTATGTGTATATAAAACCATATTTAAATATGAAAGGATTTAGCTTTTGTGTGGCAGAATGGTCTAAGGAGTTTCTTGAAATGAGGTTGTGGATGCTTGCAGTTTGCTGGAGGTAGGTAGTAGCACACTTGGACTCTCACAGATGACTTGCCTGGTACATTTGTGAAATATTTGTGAATGAAGTGCCCATTAATTGTAGAGAGCTTACCATAAGGAGTGGTTCTGCCTCTAAAGATAAGATTTAATACAAAGATGTACATTAGCCTGAGTGTTCTGGTTTCAGATAATCTTTCATCAATTTTATTTTCTTTGTCTTGCTGTAGAAACTGACTTAGTCCTTGTAATTGGTGCAAATGATACAGTTAATTCAGCAGCTCAGGAAGATCCAAACTCTATCATCGCTGGAATGCCAGTTCTTGAGGTTTGGAAGTCCAAACAGGTGAGATTAGCAGAGATGTGCTAGCACGTATCTTAGGTAGCATGCTTTTAAAAACATTGTTTATGGGATAAGCTAACAAGATTCTCCTACTCTTCTGGTTTCCATGAGAAGCTTTTCTGCAAGGTGTCCAGCAAAAGAATCAGTACTTAGGAAGCGTGATGTGCTGTTTGTGATTTTATAATCATCAGCAAGTACTTTACTGAGACCAATGATGACTGTAGTAGAAAAGACCAATTGAAGCATTTCTACTAAAAAGATGTGATTAGTATAAATTATGTTCTGCTCACATCTGCAGCCCTGAAGCTTTTCTGTACAAATACCAGCTTTTTAAAGTTTATAGGAAATTTGATTGACAACTTTAACATTGAGGTGGAAATACAAAAATTAATAACATGCATGCATGCATAAATAAATAAAAACAAAAAAACCCAAACCAAAACAAAAAAAACCAACGAAACAATGAGTGGCTGGGTTGAGTAGAGGGTTTAGTCTGTCCAGATTGAACTGATAGTTTAGGTAACCTCACCAGTTTTGTTTTTTGAAAGCAACATCATCTGATCTGAAGTACATATACTTGAGTTTTCTTGATGTGAAATCTCTGATCTCGTGTTCTGAACTGAAACATAGCCTCAGTTCTTCTGTGGGTTAACCATTCAAATACTGAGTCATAGTCACATATGTTTATCAGTGTTTTGTGCATAGCAGTGTATTGCCATTTGAGAAATTAACATGTATATCCTTAAAGTTGGTAAAGCTTCACAGTTTTTCTGTTGAAGGTGCCATGGTTAACTAATTTGACATTTAATAGCTGAAACTAGCTGAAATTTATTGTAGGATTTTTAATTTGGGTTATTTTTACTTGTATTTTATTTTTTTAAATCCCATATATATGAAATAATACAGAGTGATACTCTGAAGAAGTACCAGAGAGCATTGCACCAAGTACTGATGTGAATGCTCATCTGAATTGTGTTGGTGTCAAGGAATTGGATTCTAAAAATATTTCAAAAATAAAGTCTAAAAAGCCTTCTATATTATAATCATCAGTGCCCATATTGCTTTGACTTTATTACATGGAATAAAGCAAAAGCATATGCATGTGTAGTGTCCACAGTCTCTTCATCTAACATGTAATATTGTATTTTACAATAAAATGTTTCTGAAACTGGTCCAGCTATCAATTTGTCTGCTATATTAACATTTGAAATACAGTTTTGTAGCAGTTAGCACCCTGTTTTGGCCAGGGATCTCTCTTCCTCTCCCTTTGTGGAGGTTGGTTTTGTGTTGTCTTTGAGGGGACATGGTGGTTGGTTTTTACTGTTTCGAACATGAACTCTTTATATGCAGGTCATTGTAATGAAGAGATCTTTGGGAGTCGGTTATGCAGCGGTGGACAATCCAATCTTCTACAAACCCAATACTGCTATGTTACTGGGAGATGCTAAGAAGACTTGTGATGCCCTGCAGGTCAAAGTCAGGGAATCGTATCAAAGCTAAATACTGATTTATATTTCACTCAGATGCAGCTGGCATTTTTTTAGAAGACTGCATTGACTCCTAGGAGATGTAGTTCACTTGGGGATATAGACTTTTATGAAAGAATGGGCATATTAGCCCTTCAAACTAAATCTCCCATGAGGCAATGCATTAAAGAATGAAAATGTGCTTTTTAAGGTTAACATTGAGCTGTTAGAAGCAGAAAGTAATAACTTGTGATGATCTTTTTATAAGTAGTTAGTGGCCTTTTCTTCTTAACTGTCTGTACTTCTGTCACGGAAATTAATTTCAAAATACTGTGCTGCCAAAATTGTATTCTGTCATATCATCAAAGCTGTTCTTTGGCCTGTATGGACAAAACAACTATTTATTTCTTCAAAACTTAAATCAAAATTGCAAATAGATGCAAGCAGATGCAAATAGATGCTTCCGTGATTTGAGATTCTAAACATAATGCCCTGTTAAATCTCTATAGAAAAATTGAACTTTCTTTTGTGAATGCTGTGAATTCAAAATAAAGTTCCACATTTTTGTAGTGCCCACTTACATTGTGTAAAAGGAAACACAGGATTTCAGGGACCTTCCAAGTGATCTTTAAGCCTGACAAGGAAATATACACTTACTTGCATGGCTAAACTGTTTTAAGCAGCTGCTGAATTCTTAATCTTTTTCAATTGTTGCCTTTTTAAGTGTCTAAGGAGAAATATGGTCCAGTTCACAGAATTTGGGCCACAGTGTTTCAGGTTATGTTCACTTAGACTTATAACTGTTTTTACTATTTCAAAATGTAGTGATGCTTTCTTAATTAACATTTTTTTGATGGTGGAAAAGGCACTTTTTAACATAATTAAGATGCTGGAGTTTTTTAGATTTTTTTCCTAAATATATAAGCTATTGTTTGGGCAGCATAGAAACATACCAGACTTAAAATTCAGTGTTTTGATTATTTGACTTCTCCCTAATCTAATTAAAAGCACTGTTAAATTCCCCTAATAAGTTCAGCAAAGAATAAATTTACAATTATGACATAGATTGCTGTTTTGTTTTTATTATGTTAAGTGTACTTGAGTGGAACTCAAATATTTGCCTAATAAAATGAATCTGTCAAGTTTCCATAATGATGTAGCAACTGTCCATGGTGACTAAAGCTAAATAGAAATAGCTGAGCTTGTGTTGGAAAGCATTCATATCTGGGGATTACAAACTATTGTGAAGTATGTATTGAAATTAATCCATCTTGATTGATAGAACAAACATTTTTATAACACCATGTATAGAGACCTCATATGAAATGTAGTATTTCTACTTAGCTACCTCTGTTTTTACGTGGAGATCACTTAAAACACAGACATTGAACAGGTGCATTAACAAATGTAACAGTGGATGAAAGAAACTACCCTTTTTGCAAATCTCTTTTATATAATTGATATAAATATTGTCGTGTAAGCATTAATATGTTGTACACTGCAGGAAAAGACTTGTAATTAAATTTTAATTTAAAACATTGCAGCAGCTATATTTGAATGTAGCATGTATGGCCTCTTGATTTCATTGTATACAACTACTGTTTTAGATCTGAAAAAAAAAGGAAGGAAATTGGAGAAGGGGAAAGACAAATAATCCTGAGTCTCCCTCCCAGCTAAGCAAAAACGGGATTTGAAGGGAGTTAACATCCTTAAGTATTAATTTTTCTTGTCACACTTGAGGTGTCTAACTGCAGTATGCAACATGTCTCTGCTTATAAGTAGTTAATATAAAACTTAGCTTTTATAAAAAAAGACAAACGAGGAGGGGGAAACATTTTTTTTTCCTTTGTATTCAGGGAAAAAACCCCACACTGTTATGTTGGATCAGAGGTACCAGTGTTATCTTTAAAACTGTGCTTTACCATCGAACACCAGGTAATTGTTGAAGTGCTAATAAAATCTTGATTAATTTACTTTATTGATCGCTGCCTCTTTTCTCTCCTTTTGTGTTTCATGATAGGTAAGTAGCCTGAGATTCTTTCTGGGAGTTAGAAGATCAAAATGCCACCAATGGATGTTGTAAGCAGGAGGTAGTAAAAAGGAATCATAGTGAAATCTGCATATTTCTTTTTTTTTTTTAATTTGAATGATTCCTTAAATCATTCTAGGTATGTCTGATTTCACCTGACTGTGGCAACTTTACTGTGAGCTTTTCTAGTAAATGAAGAGAATTAGACAACTTCTGAGAGCAGTTGATCCCAGTATGTGTTACCTTTTTGACTTTAAAAAAAAAACCTACAAAAACCAAAAACCAAACCCCAAAACTGTAAGAACTATGGCTGTAAAAACTGGGTACTTCATTCTCCATTGGCTGAGATGCAAGATGAATCCTCTCCCTTTGAACCTTATACCACGTAAGTTTGCTTCAGCTCTTAGTTATTTAGTTCTATGAGATGGTAAAGTTGATTCTCGAGATGATTTCAGTTTCTGCCTTCAAAGTGAATGATTAATAATTTTAGCCATCTGATAGTCTGTTCAATTGTATCATTGCACAAGTCTGACATGCGGCTTTCATGTTTCCTTCAAGCTCTGGCCAAACTGAGACTTGAGGTCTCTTGTCTGATGTTGATTCACGAGGTAACCTCTTGACTGAGCAGCTCACCTGGGAAGCATCTGCCCACAGTGTATGCATTTGTAGTCTCACAAATGGTAAAGCCATAGTCTGGGTCCTTTTGTGGATCTGGCTGCTAGTTTAAAGATTTTACTGTCTCTACCCAATCTCCAGCTGCTTATCACCCAAAAGATATTCACTCTAGCCTGCCTGAAACAGGCTATGGAAATCTGTTCTGCTTCAATCATGGA